TCCATGTATAGGCAGTTTAAGCGCTGTATTATCTGTCACTTTTGGTCGGTGTGCAAAATTACTGGTTTCTCAAAATAAAGCTTCACAATAATTGCAAGGACGACAATAAGCGAGAAGAAATGTATAAAAAGTTTTACTATATGCCTTATTAATTCATTCTGTAGTCGAATTTCATATTTCAAAGTATATGCGCACTTTTACTGGGCATTCGCTGAAACAAAACAGGACAACACAATACACTGACGACGACAACTAATAAAAAAAATTATTGGATGAGGTTTTTGTGATATCCGGAATAATCAAGGTCGAGGTAAGTGATATCAGCCGAAGCCGCAATTGTGCGGGGAACGCCCGCATATCAACGCAGAAAGACGTTCCCTTGACTTTGATGGACAAATTGCCCAAGAAGGTAATAACCCCATCTCGTATCTGTTATAGGTCGGGCATAGCAGGGCATTTGCTCACGTCTAAATCCCGAGGGTAGAGCATTTGAAATTCTATTATTGCCGGGGACCGGGCATTTGCCTACCCCCAGGAAAGCTCAAGAACGCTTGCTATCCCTGTAGCTTTGGTCTCTCGCATGTGGCGGAGAACGCAAACATTAGTGATGTTGCCGTCTCTTATTTATTTCATCTCCTGTTGATCACACTGGATCAAATGAAATTACTGACAGCGTAGACATGCCACAGACTTTCCAATCCGTTAAGTTATGACCTTGAAGTAATTAAAGTAACTATGCAGCTGGGGCTAGGTGGCAATTTTTTTGCTTAAAAAAAGCATATTACAGGCTAAAACTTAAAGAATGCCAGAAATGGAAAGAACGTATCGAAAGTAACAAAATTGCCAACACACAGATTCTTTGTCCTTTTTTGGCATAATTTTAGCCCATAATTTNGGGTTAGGTGGCAACTTTTTTGCTTAAAAAAAGCACATTATAGGTTAAAACTTAAAGAATGCCAGAAATGGAAAGAACGCATCGAAAGTAACAAAATTGCCAACACACAGATTCTTTGTCTTTTTTGGCATAATTTTAGCCCATAATTTTATGAAAAGTAGATCACGTGGTGGCCTAGCTGTAAAGGACCTATTGCTAACCTAAACTTTTTTCAGTCGGGTGAAAACGACCTCCTACTCTGTGATTGGGTAAGCCGGAGCATGGGCAGACAACTATCTCCGGACCCCTCTCCGACGCTACGTGACAGAGAGAGGGCCAGAAAATTGGCAACCTCCCACTAGGTGATCACGCGCAGCATATCTAAGACTGAGGAAGCCTTTGAGAAGTATTTTATACATCCAACTTAAGCTTGCTAAGTGGTTTGGTAGACACTGTTTAATTTGCCGTGTTATAAGATTTGTTCTAAATTATCACCAAAACTATAATTTTAAAAAGCAACTAGTTACAGGAACATAAAGAAAACGTACAGTAGTCATAGTATACTGCATAATTTTCAGAACTAGTTTAAAAGTGGATTTCACTAAAAATGTGAACGTTAAAAAGCAACGACGTTTCGACCGCTCGACGGCCGCAATTTTGTTGTATTGTTTCTATGTAAATATTTTAGAGTTTTAGTCAGTGTCTCATTAGCATTCTTATAATCGATTGTATGTATTTGGGCGCATGCAAAATTTTTACTTTTCAACTTGAAAATGACCGTCGAGCGGTCGAAACGTCGTTGCTTTTTAACGTTAACATTTTTAGTGAAATCTGTTTCTAAAAAGTTGTTGATTCGTAGTTTAAAACTGTCGATCAGATAGTAAATGATTTACATTTTTGTGAGTTAAAAGGACTTCTCTTATATCGTCTATTGTTTTCGCCACAGGTACGTTTTAACTTCCGTCTGGCTTTTCGAAGATCATCCCAATACTGTGACCAGAATACAATAAGCCAGGGTAAACTTATTAGCGTGGGTTCATGGAAGGCACAGTGTATAAGCGCTTCCAATCCACGATGCAATTCGTCTGAGATAACAGTTGGTAGCGCAGACTACTTTTGTACCGACTATAGTACAAGCGAAGATTGGACTATGGGTGGAAATACATTCAATTATACGTTTCCTTCTACCAGTAAGGAATGGTCTGTAAGGTATGTTCTTTTGTGTAGAGACGATTAACGGAAGCCTTTTAAAGTGTCACTAGCCCCCATTTTTTTTCATTTAATAAAATCCATTAGTTTCACCAACTACTTCAGCGAAGAAATCATCTCGATTGGTAAAAATCCCTACGTTTGTACAGGCGTTTGCATCTCTAATTTCTATGTTCACGACCGCGTAAAGTGGGATCTGGGTCGGGCTGCTAGTGACGTCACTCCGGGAACCAGGTTAAAGCACTCAAGAGACTTTTGACTGAGCTTCGAGCGCTGTCAAAACAAATTTGGGTTATTTGTGATTTACATTTAATCAAAAATGGACACGATTTTTCAGTGAAAGAACTGTATCATCTAGTATTACAATTCAGGGTCTAGCTACGATTTGGACGGCTGCGCGATGACTGCAAATAGTTTTTTTTTTTTTTTCCATTTCGAAGTGCGGGTCGCCAGTCGAGATCGCCGCGTTGTAATTTAGGGTAGGATCGACAATTTGTTGGTCCATTTTTGGTCATAAAGGTACAAATAATGGCTGAAGGGTTAACTAATTACAGCTCTTAAAGAGTTATAAAGATGTCAATGAACACGAAGAGTTAGTAATATAATTTGACTTTACGGAACCTGCGGATTTCGGAGTTTCGAAACATTTTTAGCCTCAAACATTAGGCCATCCCCTTTTTTTTCTCTNAAAAAAAAAAGGCAGAAGGCAATGAAGGCAATCACACATTATAATATTTCAAACAATTGTCACTTTAATCTGAAACATAAGCAATTTTTCGCCTTACAGATTTTTAGTTTTTCCCTGTTCTCGTTTGATTTTAACAACGACGTCGACATTTTCCTTCCTCCATTGCCGCGATGTTGACTTTGTAACCACACCTTGTTGTTTCCAGGCTCCACGGATATTATGCTGAGGTACCGAGCCCCTTAGCTCCAGACTCCTCTTCCAATTTTTATTTTTGTTTGTTTTTTTTTTCCTTTTCCGAACGACCGACCGACCCAAAATCAGAAAACGCATTCGACAATAATAGAAAAAAAAGTCCATTTCACGTACGCTAATAACCTGGGAGTTCTTGACTTTTGCGTTTCGGTTCAATGGCAAGGGCATTCTTTCTTTCATCACGGCAAGCTATAGAGTCGAATTTAAACCATTTGTTTTACTTTCCTCATAAATTTATCAATGTTTGATTCATTTCAAGGTTTTAATTAAGATATATTTTGTTCCTCAAAAACAAAGTTCAAAGAACCAAACAATTGTGTATGCGGAATGGCCTTTGAGAAACACAGCCGTATTACGGCGAGTATATGGTTTGCTATAAAATACACAAATACATGGCTAGTTCACCATTGCAAAGCCTCAAAAAACTTGATCGCCTAGTTGTAGGACGTAGGTTTTGTTCACTATTCGTTGAGAAAGGTCTCTATTTCGAGTACAAAAAACGCGATACGTTTTACTTGCCGTATGATCTTCTCACCTTTAGACTCCATTATTTTGGTCTGGGACTCAGGTGATCGTTTGCGGAGTTCGCAATGGTCAGATGGTTCCCAGCCTATACCAGATTCGTGTCTTATGCAGTATCTTGAAAATGTTGAGTTTTCCGCCAGAAGCAAGAGAAGAATATACAGGCCATGAAAATCTCTAGGTTTTCACAAGGGCATTAAACTCGTGATCGAAGAAATCTCGCATGTGGCGGAGAACGCAAACATCAGTGATGTTGCCGTCTCTTATTCAATGCCCCTAGCCCTAAAAAAATATATAACAGCTGCTCACGATGAAGAAAATTACAAGCTTACGAGAGCTGCTACACTTTTGGAGTCAGTGGTAAACTTTTTCCATAGAACTTAGAGCACAGATCAGCCCGCTTCTTTGGTCTTTTTCTCGCTTCTGGTCGATCGTCATCGAGATAAAGGTATTGAATGAAGAGGAATACTCTATCCTAAGCTTCCTGTATTACTACAGCCTCCAAAAACAAATCTTCCTTGCATTCCGTATAGATTTAAACTCGCACCATTGCATCTTCGCGTATATTCTTCTCAGAAATCAAGCATTGTTATTCCCGGAATGGCGTCCCATTTGTCCCACTCTCCGATAGTCCTCGATCGTGAACATGGAAAAGAACAATTTTACAAACTTTGAAAACTCCTAGGAAATTAACAAAAATAGCTACACAATAATTTTTTAGCAGTGATAATCAGGAGAAGAAGGAGATTCATATTACCGAAAAACAACTTTTGGGGTTAGTAGCACTTAAATAAAATAAACAAATGGATAGATTTTTCTTTGAAGCAAGTGACAATTTTTCGGTTATTTATGCTAACTTTTCACGAGAGAGGTTTACTGCGGTTATTGCTAACCATAATTTGGTAACATTTAAACTTCAAAAAAGCCTAGGGAAAAGTTGTTTATACAGCAATGAATAACTAAGGTAGACAGTAGACAACCTCCAGTTCACGCAGGAAATTCAGCATCTTTTTGCACAAAACCTCAGGGAAGTGTTAGGGTTAGGGTTGAAAACGTAACTCGTAACCATCGCCGCTCTTTACTTTCTTATTAGGATTTTTTCCCCTATAGCTTTGCTCCTTGAAGTGTCGGATAATGTTTAAAGAAGTTTATTACTCCTCTTAAGGCCCTTTTAAAGATCGCAGCACAGCTTGTTCTTCATGTTCTCGTATTTTTGTCGGTCAGGTTAGCAGGTGTATCCTTGCGTTGCTTTTGTGTCTTGTCACAAGACAAGTCTTGCTTAAAACACCTGCTTCGTAACTCTTTAGAAGGATAAGCTTTATATTTTAACCTCTGAATATTTTAATTGTTTTAGTTGGTAGTAGTACGCCATCCTTTAAGTTCCATATGTAACTTGACTTTGATTTATTGTTGTTGTTGTTGCTGTTGTTTAATTTTAATATAAAATATTTATCTTGTCTACGGTAATTAGTTTTTCTGGCTGCTGCTGGATTTCATTGTCTCGTGGTGGTAATAATTGGCTGGTGTCTACAAGCGTCAACCTTGCCAGACGATCCGATAATGGAAGAATTAACTCATCTCCAATATCAAGGAGCGCTGCAATTGTCCGATTTAGAGAGGGTTGTCCCCAGTCTCTAAGAATCCCTGTTGAAGACCCGGATGGTGATGTCGTTAAGTGTCGTTATTCAACTTTCTCAGAGTCTCAATTTAACAATGACAGTTTTCCTTACGGTGTACTTGATGAGGTAAATGAGTTTACGGCTGGGTTTCTGCAAACATTAGATTTCCGACTATGTTAAAATATATAATATGCACTGGGTTAATTGGCCACTTGGAGGAGCAAGAATGTTGCTGTGATCATCTTCAGTCAATCCTAAGCTTTGATTTAAGGTGATTCCCTAGTAAAAGAACCCGCCGTAGATTCCCGATAAAACTTGGTATGCTGTTGATACAGGACAAGGAGATATTAAAAACGTGGTAAAAAGAGGGGGTCACCGTGCTTGTTTTCACGCCACAATGCTGACAAATACGGCTTTTTAGGCCACTTTTGGTAATCTCCGTGCGCAACAAATAAGCTCGATTATTTTTCAATGTAGCGTGTTATACCACACAGAGTTTGACTTTCTTTGATTGTTTATTCATCTACGTCCCAGAAAAAAATGTGTTCAAATACCCCGCATTTTTTTTTTATCCTTTATAGTAAACATGATTTGGACATGCGCTGTTGAGACCGTTATGTCTCCCTCTGTAGTATTTATTTCATTCCCAAAAAAGTAGCCGTAGATTTGTGCTAATTTTTCTCTCAGTTATTGAGGATATTGTTCTCATTGAAATTATGAAATAAAAAGTGGAGGTCACCGTGCTCGTTTAAGAGAAAAGGAGCATTTATTTCGCTATAGGACTTAGTTTGAGGAAATTTCTTACGTTTTGTACGCGCACGCGCTCACGTGCGCGCGCTAATGACGCGAAATGGTGCGTAGTAGGGATGCGCAATGCAATACTAAGGAATCACCTTAAATGAACTTGTTTTAACCACTTAGCGTGTTTTAAATGTACTAGAAATCCGCGGATTTATTTGGAATGACCGATAGACTACGATAGCTTAGCCAATCAGATTACAGCATTTATATTAGTATACGAGTACAATTTCATTAATGACAAGACCAGTATGAAGAGACAACTTTCTAAATAACGAGTAAAAATAGAACTGTAAGCAGAATAAGACATATTGGAATAAAAACGTTCTCTGGTTAAAAATATATTAAAAACATAAGCTTTCGGCTATCAGTCTATAGCCTTTAACAAATGAAAAATGTGGCGCGCAAGCGAAAATATATACGAATGGGGTGCGAAAAATTGAGAATAAAAACAAGCGTGAAAAAAGCTAGAAGATAAAAATGTATATGAGGCCTAATTACAATAAAATCGAGTACTGCCTAGGCAACGGTTTTGAGTTGTTTTCCGCGTCGACAGTTTTTGCTGTGTGC